CCCCATCTACATCAACACAACCGAGGTTGAGAGCGTGAACAGCATCAAGTTCATCAGAGTGACAATAACCGATGACCTGTCCTGGACTTCCCATATAAATGGGACAGTCAAGAAGGCATAACAACAGCTCTGCTTTCTCACACAGCTCAGGAAATGTGGCATGTCCATAAGGTCCCTCACCAACTTCTACAGATGCACCATTGAAAGCATACTGCCCGGATGCATAACAGCCTGGTATGGCAACTGCTCTGCCCAGGACCAGAAGAAACTACAGAAGGAGGTGTGCACAGCCCAGACCATAGCAGAAGCCAACCTTTCATCCGTGGACTCTATTTACATGGCTCGCTGCCGCAGAAAGGCGGCCAACATTATCAAAGATCCATCGCACCCTGGTAATGATCTCCTACAACCTCTTCCGTCAGGCAGAAGGTACAGAAGCCTGAACACACACACACAAGCAGATTCAGGAACAGCTTCTTTCCGGCCATTATCAGACTGTTGAATGGACTCTAGCCTCAAATAATGTAACTTGCAATGTAACCTGTATGCCTCGAAGTCTTTTTGATCTGTACATGCTTTGCTTGCTGTGATCTGCCAATACCACTCAAAAAAAAGCTTTTCACTGTATTTCGGTACAAGTGACAATAAATCAATCATTCCTATGCAAAGGACCACTCGAAACTGAAAAGCTAAGTGTTCCTAGGTGACGTCTTGATGTTGTGAAATGGCTTTGGTATGTGTTCAAAAATTGTCTGACATAATTCAGTTTCTTGTGTTCCATCCATCCATCCTTTGAGACAATTTGACCATAATTTTCACATGTACACAGGGTCAGGACCCAGCTGGCGTGAGCTTTGAAAATCGAGGATATGGATGTTAAATTAGGATCCCAACATCTCCAGGGCAGTTTTGAATTTTCAAAGGCACAACATTGTAGAGGAATGGAAAACAGATAAAACCACCTAACTGCACCTCCACGGGGGAGGCGATGGCCTAGTGGTATTATTGCTGGACTGTTAATCCACAGACCCAGATAACATTCTGACGACCCAGGTTCGAATCCTGCCATGGCAGATGGTGGAATCTGAATTCAATAAATATCTGAAATTAAGAATCCAATAATGACTGTGAATCCATTGTCGATTGTCAGAAAAACCCATCTGGTTCACCAATGCCCTTTAGGGGACGAAACTGCCATCCTTACCTGGTCGGGCCTACACGTGACACAGCAATGTGGTTGATTCTTAACTGCCCTCTGGGCAATTAGGGATGGGCAATAAATACTGCCTAGCCAGCGACGCCCTCATTCCGTGAATGAACAAAGGGGAAAAAAATTAAGGAACACTTGAGCAACCATTCAAGTTTGGAATTCTTTTTCCCAGCAACCCCAAACTGTTTTGTCATCTGTTAGTGCACAACCATCACATATGCAGGGAGACCTGATAATTTATTGTGCAGTGTTTTGAAGTGAATTCTGAGGTGCCAACTAATGCCAGCAAGACTACCACACCAAACCTTGTCAATAGTAGCTGCTTTTGAAATTGTGCCTTTCCAAGTAGCTATTTGCTGAAACAAGCAAGTCCTTAGATATTAAAGCAGTCCAAATGCAGCTAAACTTTGACATATCTAGACTTGGGATGAAAATTGACAAATAGTGTTCACACCATGCAAATGCCAGGCAATGATCATCTGCAATAATAAACAATCTAAACATCGTCACTTGGCATTCAATTGTATTACTATCAGTGAATACCCCACAATCAATACACTGGGAGTTACCATACACCAAGAAATAAAATAGGCTAGCCATCTCCTGCACTTCCACCCTTACCCCTTCTCTTCCCTCCCGTAACAGCGATAGCGTTCCCCTTGTCTTCACCTATCATCCCACCAGCATCCACATCCAGAAGATCATCAGGTGCCATTTCCGCCACCTCCAGCAAGATGCCACCAGACACATATTCCCCTCCCCTCCCTTGTCCACCTTCCGCAGGGACCATTCCCTCCGGTACACCCTGGTCCATGCTTCCTTCACCCCCAAAGCCCTATGGCACCTTCCCCTTACATTTTCCCAGCCACTATCAGTTAACTTGAAATGTTAACTCAGTTTTTTCCTTCACAGATGCTGCCAGACCTGCTGAGCTTTTCCAGCAACTTTGTTTTCGTTCCTGATTTACAGCATCCACAGTTCTTTCGGTTTTTACATTACTTTGAAATGCTGTACATAAACAGTACTTATCATTCCCCACATAAAACTTTAGGATTTAATTGCCCAAATCATAAATAATTTCAGTTCATCCTTCAGAGCTGCCAGTCAACTGAGCTGTATTACTCAAATCTTTTGGTACCAGCTCTAAAGTATAAATTTAACAATTCTACTATGAAGTAAACAGAATCAGAAGGTTAGCATTTAAAATGGTCACTCTACAGCTTCCATTAGATACCATTCTAATATTTTAAGCCAGTTTAGGATAGAATGCAAACCTTTATTAATTATAGACTAAGTATTATAGAGTTATAAAACTTTTTGTTTTGACTAATTTCCCCAAGATTCATGGTGCGATATGACTCTAATGCCAATCAGTTACACTCACTTTCCAACCTGATCCAAGAATAAAGAGTACTTGACAGACATACTGATGGCACCTGGCATTTGTGAAATTTGAAGCCAGCAGAGGTAAATGTCCTCTAGAATTGAAAGGAATGGCAAAATTGGGGATAAAAAGTATATCACAGACTATCTTCCAAAAGTAATGCGCGATCAAGTTAAAAACTAGTGTAAAAATCGAAAGAACTGCAGATGTATAAATTAGAAACAAAAACAGAAGTTGCTGGAAAAGCTCAGCAGGTCTAGCAGCATCTATGAAGAGAAATCAGAGTTAACGTTTTAGATCTGGTTCTGAGGAAGGGTCACCGGATCCAAAACATTAACTCTGATTTCTCTTCATGGATGCTGCCAGACCTGCTGAGCTTTTCCAGCAACTTCTGTTTTTGTTTAAAAACTAACGTACCTCAACATAGCTAACACAATATGTTGAGAAAAGCTAGCGCATTTTAAAGCAAGCAAGTTTAACTTGAAAAAAAATTGGAAAAGTTATAATTATAAAGGGTTTTAGGGAATGCTTTCTTAAAAAAAATTGTAAAGAAATGGGGGTGGACATTTGGGGCAGCACAGCGGTTAGCACTGCTGCCTCACAGCGCCAGGGACCCAGATTTGATTCCATCCTTGGGTGACTGTCTGTGTGGAGTTTGTACATTCTCCTTGTGTCTGCTTGGGTTTCCTCTGGATGCTCTGGTTTCCTCCCACAGTCCAAAGATGTGCAGGGTACATGGATTGGCCATGCTAAATTGCCCATTGTGTCCAGGGATGTTTAGGTTAGGTGGGTTAGACATGGGGAAATGCAGGGACAAGGGAAAGGAGCAGGGTGGGATGCTCTTTGGAGGGGGCGGTGTGGACTTGTTGGGCCGAATGGCCTGTTTCCACACTGTAGGGATTCTATGATGATATATGAAGGGAAAAGTACTTACACCTACTTTAGTAGTGAAACAGGACAAAAATTGGCCTGTGAAGAAATTCCATGTCTTTTCAAGGCAATTTACAAGCTCCTCTGCACATTATACTTCATTGACATGAACACACTTCACTGGTAGACTAACAAGTCACAAACAAAACCCACCATACTGTATGTATTTTAAACATATGCACTCAAAAAGGAGACCAGTAAACAGGGCAGCTCCACTAAGATCATTTCAACTAAATATTCTGCAATGCTAGGAAATATATTACTTCTGAGATGCTGTTGTAAACAAATACCTGTCGTTCCACACATGGAACCATAGGATTTGATTGTACAATCATGCAGAATTTCAGTTCATCCTTCAGAGCTTCCAGTCAACTGAACAGTATTACTAAAATCTTTTGATACCAGTCATTTCTATATGATAACTGGAGACTCTAAAGTATAAATTTAACAAATCTACGAAGTAAATAGAACCAGAAGGTTATCATTAAAAATGGTCACTTCACCATTCTATTATTTTAATACAGTTTATAATAGAAAATGCTATGTAAATAACATTTAATCATAGACGAAAGCATTAGAATATAAACTTTCCTCTGAACTGCATAACGTACATCCTTCACATAAACGTGATGTTATGAAATTTCTAAACATTTTAACATCTTAACAAATCACAGTACATTGTCACTGCTTAAAATGGCTGAACTGATGTACAGCATTTGGGCTGTAACATTTGTTCTATAGTTTCTGTTGGCCCTTGTATTGCTCGGTGCGCTGTTTACTTCATGCGCTCATGCCATTTTAAACACCAAGTGAGAGCTACAAGGTACATTTTTTCAGGACGTAATGACAGCGCCCTCTAACTAAATACGATACTTTTGACTAGCCCGGAATATCATACATAACAAAATTACAACGGGGGAGGGGGGGGGCAAGGGGTAGCATTCAAAACACAAGCTCCATCAGGAGACGGAATTTATATTTGTAATTGGCGCTGAAAAATTGATGCCCCTCATGCAGCAATGCATTCAGGAGCAACGCTAAATATTACACACATTGCACGCAACAGTTAATGTAGCGGATTTATAACACACTTCGCATGAAAGCTCATCCCACATCAATTCTGCGATATTTGGACTCAGCTGTCATCGACTTTGAACACTTGCAACCAACTGTCTGACAAGCCGAGTCACCAACGCAGACCATTTAAAAACACATCATCGTGGAGAAAACTGCGCCGTCAAAAGCCACTGTCGTTTTCAATGAAGTTGCATTTCATTTAAATGTTTCTTCAAAACAGCTGAGCCGCGAATAAAATAATCACCAACATTAAGTGTTATTCACTGCGTCCTGCAGCCCCCGCACTCTACCGCTTTTATTTTGTTGGGTTTTGTCGGGGTGGGGGAAGATATTACGAAAATGCATTTTTTGCTTGACCGCTTGATTTTTTTTATGCGAAAGGAACAAGCATCAACTTACCGACGCCAAATTTCTCCTCCTCCGTCGGTGTCCACATCTCGCCCGGGACTGGACAAGCCCGAGTGTCGGCCGCTTCACATGGAATTCTCCCACGGTGCGCGCGCGTCGGGGAGGCGATATGATCGCCCACTGACCCGGCACCTCGGTGACTGTCCTCCTCTCCCTGGCTCGGTGGCGGAGGAACACCTCGGTGACTGCCTCTCCCGACGCGAGCCCGGCTCCGACTCCGGCTTCGGTTTCGGCTCCGGCTCTCACTCATTGCGCCGCACTAGCTCCCACAAACGCCATCCAGAGTCACGCCACTGCTGTTACTGCCGTCCGTTCTCCTCGTCAGTTGCCGCGGCGGCGCGCCTGTAGGCATGCGCTGCCTAACGGAAAGCGGTCGCGCGGCCGTAAGCAGAGGACACGCGAGGCCGCTCGGCGGCAGCCGATAGGACGGGGCGCGTTGTTACCATGACGACCGAGCAGACGCTCGCGTGGGTGAAGACGATGTCCCTTCCCGCGCACTAGGATCGTCGGAAGGTTTTGTTTTTGGGGGGTTGGGGGGTAAATAAACGACAAAGACCGAGCGAATGTGTATTGTTTGGCAACCGTTTTGAAAGTGCAGTGACCAAAATAGCCACCCTGTCACTCAGTAAAGCGCTGGTGGATGGAGAGCTTAGACTGCTTCCAATATTATGTGTACATGTCCAGACTAAATCGCACACCATATTTAGAAGCGGTGAAATGACAAACCGCGAAGTCGTTTGCCTGTACATAAGTCTGGAAAGGATGCTCTTCCAGAGAATGATTACTTCTGTCATTTAGACTGGTGCAATCTTGTTTGCAATGGAAATCATGACATTCTCAGGTGCCAATTGTGGGCGTGATTATTCGTACCCACCGCACCAAATAACGTATCGCTTAAGACCGATCTGGTGAGAACTTAGACTGAAGACAACATTGTTGCTTCAAAATACTGCGTGTGCTGGAGACCTGAAATATAAAAAATAAACTGAAAACGCTGAAAATACTCAGCAAATCAGGCGGCATCTGTGGAACGAAGTTAACGTTTCAGATCGATGACCTTTCATCAGAACACTGTTGGAGGCTGCATTTTACAAGGGTGGGACATAATTCTGAACCCCACAATAAATGAATTCGGGGACCGCAAGAAGAATGCATGCCAATCTGAAAAGCAAGCAGAAAAAAACCAGAAGCTCCAAAATTTGACTGTCACAGCTCTCAAATATGTGTTAAGTCAAAGTGATTCTGCTACTAAGCTTCTGAAATGATATCGGGTATTCAAACGGTCATTGTAAGTAAGATAGGTAAAACAGAAAGTGCTCGAAACAACAGTGAAGAGAAAAACACAGTCAGTGTTTCTGGCGATCACACGTCAAATTGGAAAAATAATTCCAACCGTGATCTCCTGACCTCCTGGGAAAAGCACAAAAACTGGAAACAAGCTTGTCAAAAGCAAAAATTCGTAAAACTCCTTTTCTATCACTAATATGTAATCAACATTAGTCTGCGAGGCCATTCAAATGTTAAATGTTACACTCACATTCCACATCAGCCAGAAACATGCAGCTCTGAGTTCTAGGAATTTTGTAAATCAGTGTTGGTCACACCAATCGGCAGCCTGAATTATGTTTTGACAAAATCACTAACTTAACTAAGCAAAGACACAATTCCTATGCATTGGTCATCAATAATGGGTGAATTTAGAAAAAAAACTGATGCCACAGTGTTTACATCAAACAAATCCTGTGCGTGAGATCGTCAGCCACAGGTCTTGCAGCTGAGCTTTTAACATCGATCTAGAACATAAACTTGACTATCACATGGGTCACAGAATGTAAGGAAGAGTGCAAGGACGTCACATACGGTTTAAATAGATTACAAAGGTGGATGATGCAGTGAGGAAAAATGCTACTTTACTGCAAAGGGCTTTAAAGCAATCAGATATATTCCTAGAAACTGGAAAATAGAAATGGATGTAACCCATTCAGACCCTCAAACTTGTTCCATCAGTCAATTAGATCATAGATGATCTGTAATATAACTCCACGCTGGTGCCTTGCTGACCAACATGCTTCAACTGTGGTTTGTAAATTTTTCAATAATTAGATCTTAACAGTTAGGGCATTGTTTCAAATTTACTTCCTAGCATTACCTCTGGGTGGATATCTCTAAATTTGTGATGTGTTCTTGTTCTGGATTACCCATCAGAGAAAAGTGTTTCTCTCTATGTGTCCTATCGACAGTTATAATCATCTTTAAACCTCAATTAGATCAACCTTCATTTTATAAACTATGCAAGTGAATGTAACCCTAATCGATGCAACCTCACCTCATAATTTAACCTTTTTAGCTTTGTTATAGGAGGTCTTCTGTCACAGCAGCTAATGCTCCTGCCTTTGAGCTGGAAGCTCTAGGTTTATGAGCCATTCCAGGACTTGGTGGCCAATGAATGTGCATTCATAACACAGCTAAGTATCAACATGAAATTCCTTCCAAATTTGATGAGTAGCAGAAATTCCTCATCAGCCATGTGATGGAAAGAAATTAGAAAACCATCCATAGATTCGAGCTAGAACATGAATATAAAAGTGCATGTTACCACAGCAAACATAGATTCAACTCAGCTACAACACTGGTAACTACCAAACAATACAGAAAATTGCTCAGGTATGTCCTGTACACAAAAAGCAAGTCAAAATCCAGTTGCCAATTACTCTTGATCATCAGTAAACTGATGGAAGATGTCATCAACAGTGCTATTAAGCAGCATCTGCTCAACAATAATCTGCTTACTGACCCCCAGTTTGGGTCCTGCCAGGGCCACTAAGCTCCTGACCTCATTACAGCCTTAGTTGAAACATGGACAAAAGAGCTGAATTCCAGAAGTAAAGTGTGAATGACAGCCCTTGACATCAAGGCCACATTCAACCACATGTGGTATAAGGAACCTGAGCAAAACTGGAATCACTAGGTTTCAGTAGGCAAACTCTCCCTGAAACATGGGAAGATGGTTGTGGTTTTCAGAAGTCAGTCATCACAGCTCCAGGACACCTCTGCAGGACTTCCTCAAGGTAGTGTTCTAGGCTCAACCATCTTCACACGTGTCATCAATATCCTTCCTTCCATCATAAGGTCAGAAGTGGGGATATTCACCGAAGGTTGTACAATATTCAGTACCATTGTGATTTCTCAGACTCTGAATCAGTTCATGTTCAAACACAACAAGATATGGACAATACCCAGGCTTGGGCTGACAAATGGCAAGTAACATTTGTGCCACACAAATGCCAGGCAATGACCATCTCCAATAAGAGACAATCTAACCACCACCCCTTAACATTCAACGGTGTTGTGATCACTGAATCCCCCACTATCAACATCCTAAGGGTTGCCATTGACCAGAAATTCAGCTGGACTTACCACATAAATACAATGGCTACCACAGCAGATAAGAGGCTGAGGATACTGCAGTGAGTAACTCACACCCTGACTCACCAAAGCCTGTCCATCATCTACAAGGCGCAAGTCGCAAGTGTGATAGAATATTCCCCACTTGCCTGGATAGGTGCAACTCCAACAATACTCAAGAAGCCTGACACCATGCAAGAAAAAGCAGCCTGCTTGATTGGCACCACACCCACTCCCCTTCACCATTGACGCTTAGTACAGCAGTGTGCACTAACTACAAGATGCACTGCAGAAATTCACCAAAGATCCTTAGATAGCACCTTCCAAATACATGACCATTTCCACCTAGAAGGACAAGGGCAGCAGATATGGGAACACCATTACTTGCAAGTTCACTCAATGTCCTAACTTGGAAATATATCATCATTCCTTCAATGTCGCTGCGTCAAAATCTTGGAACTGCCTTTCTAAGGACATTGTGAGCCAACCTACAGTACATGGACTGCAGCAATTCAAAAAGGCAGCTCACCACCACCTTCTCAAGTGCAACTAGGGACAAGCAATAAGTACTGGCCAGTCAGCAACACCCACGTCCCACAAGTGAATGACAAAGAGAAGTTCTTGGCGCCAGTTGTCTTAGTTGATCGGATAGGTGGTGTTGATTAGATTCGTACCAATAGCATGGGGTTTGATTCCTTTTCCATTAGTATGAATCCAAGACCTGTCTACTCGAACATGGTGCTGTGGGTAAGAATTGACTGTTGGTAGAAAAGTCAAGAAGTCCTGTTATAATTCAAACACAATTTGCCCTATAGATGGGATCTAAGCAGAGCACCAAACAGTTGAAGCAATCCTTCACACTATTGTATAACTTTTCAGAAAAAGACCACAAGCTTTTAACAATTTCAGCATTTCAATGTCTAGAAATTTTGCTTTCTGGTGAAAGTATTAAAGATGACAGTATTGCCAACCTAAATTAAACTCTTTTAACGTTTCGGGTCCAGTGACCCTTCTCAGAACCAGGAACAGTCACCGGATCTGAAACGTTAACTCTGTTTTCTCCTTCACAGATGCTGCCAGACCTGCTGAGCTTTTCCAGCAACTTTGTTTTTGTTCCTGATTTACAGCATCCATAGTTCTTTTGGTTTAAATTAAACTCTTTGCCTGGTTCTATTCTTTCACAGAATATCGTGTTGCTGGCTGGGCCGGCATTTAATATCCATCAGTAAATTGTCTTGAGAATTAAGTGGTAAGCTTATTTTTGAACCACTGCTGTATGTGTATTGTAAGTGCATCTACAGTACTATTATGAAGCGAATTCAGGGATTTGGTTGCACCAGATTCAACCAGCGACAGTGAAAGAAAAGTAATATAGTTCCAAGATAGGATGGTGTATGGCTTTGTGGGGAACTTGCAGGAGGTGGTGTTCCCATGCATTTGCTACCTCTGTACTTGGTGTTAAAGTTCATGGGTTTGGAAGGTTGCTGCATTGCATCTTGTAAACGATACACTGATGCTGCAATGCATCAGTGGTGGAAGGAGTAAATATTGAAAATATTCAAAGGTGAATAATGTGTCATTCAGGTGGAATGCTTTGCCCTGGATGGTGTTGAGTTGTTTGATTGTTTTTGGAGCTGCACTCATCCAGGCAAATGGAGGATACTCCATCACAGTCCTGACCTATACCTTGTAGATGATGGACATCAAGAGTTGAATTCATAGCAAAATTCCCAGCCTCTGATTTGTTCTTGTACTGCTGTATTTATGAGGCTAGTTCGGTATTTTGTCAATGGTAACACCAATGTGTGGATAATGTGAGGATTCAGTGATAACATTGCCAGTGCATGTCAAGGGTTGAAGGCTGTGATCTCTCTTCTTAGAGATGATCGTTGCCTGGCACATATGTGGCATGAA